GCGTAGAGCAGGGACCCTGCCTTCCCCTGGGTTGAAGCGCACCCCTTGCCCCGGTCTACAGAGGGACCTCCACAAACCCGGAAATGCTGGTAGAAAGCACGGAAGGCCAGAACTGGTCTCTTTGCTCCGAGACCTGGGGAAGTTGAGGTGAGGCTCAGTGGGCCAGAGGCCAGATGCTGAGGGCTTGGGCCTGGTCCCCGCCCGGGGTCTGGTCAGGGAAACACAGGGGCTAGAGGCCTGCCTTGAAGCTGCCTCGCCAGCCCTCCAGCCAAAAAGGCAGGAAGTGAGTGGCCTGGGGTGAGCAGCGTGCAGATGTGGGCGCCGCCTCTGTGTTGCTTCGTGGGGCCGGGAGGGACAGGCCATGCCCTGAACCTCGGCCCAGCCAGGGGACAGCTCCATGGTGCTACAGAAACAAACAAGAGAGCCAGGCCAGCATACACTGAAGGCAGCTTTGCAAAGTTCAAAACCTTCAGCAGGCCACTACGCTTCAGTTTGGCCAAACTTGCGCCATGACCTCACCCCTCTTCATGAGCAGCTGTCCCGATCCGAATCCTGCTTCCTTCTCTAATCCCTTCCTCATGAGCCTGGGGAGGGCACATGAGGAGCTCAAGGCAAGAACGCCCTCACAGAATCCTGTGCTTCTCTGTAACACCCCTCGCAACCGCGATGGGATGAAGTGATTGTCCGGTGTCTGCACCACCGGACGGAAGCCTGAGTGTCTGCCCTGCTCACGGCTGGGCCCCCAGCAGGGTACCTGGCACAAGCCAGCACCCAGCGCATATCTGTCGGGTGCCCTCGATCAGCACCCGAGAAACTGTTAGGTCTATGAAATTTTGTCCCTTCTGATAAAGCCCGGAGGAAATATGTATAATTAACTTGGAATTCCATCAGACAGGCATGGATTGGTCGTTTAAAAGGACAGAATAACTAGATGTTAAATTTTAGGAGACTGTTTGTCCTGCTACTCTATCCCTCCCATGTCCTACAAGGAAGGGCACGTCCAAGGTGCCAGCTGGGTCCTTTGTTCGAATCACACTGTCAGGACCAGAAGGAACCTTACAGCAAAGGTGCCTGCCGCTTGCCTCAAACTTTCTACACAACCCGGCCAAGTGGTTTCTCCAGCCTCTGGATATTACAAAAGAAACCATCGCTTCGCCATGCATTCTGTTCCAGGTGTCAGGACCTGGTGTTGTGAATCATTCGCTCAGTAAGTAATTGAGCCCCAACCGTGTGCCAGGCTGTGGGCCGAGCTCTGGGAAGATGATTGTGAGCAGGGCTGACCTTGTCCAGATCTCACGGCCCTTCCAGACCCTCCTTCCTAGCTCTGCTGGTCCAGCAGCAGACGGTGAGTTAGCTCTGGTTCACGGGTCACACACGACGGGCTTCTAGTGAAGCCACTGCCTGACAGATGGAGTCATGGCTGAACCTGAGGGTCAGCAGCCACAGGCAGGACACACCTGCCCTCTTGAGGACGCGCTAGCAGGACTGCCGGTGATGAAACGGAGGAGAAAGAGGGGGAGAAGGGGGAGGGGACCCGGGTACAGGGGAGGCAGCCTGGACTTGGGCTTGAGGGCCTGGGTTCCAGTCCCAGAGGGGCTCACTTCTTTCAAGGTCAGCTAGGAAAGCATACAGAAGCCCCTGGACAGTGAATGGATGTAGACGCGCTGCAACACACAAAAGTGTGTGCACAGGTGCTGGCGCACGCGTGGCCCTCGGGGCGAGCTTCCTTCCAGCCGCCACTTTCTCTGGAACCAACTCCTCTCTCCACAAACCCCTCCTGACTGGCGGTCCGCAGAAACCATGCTGACTTGCTGGAAGCGTTGTGCTTCTCACCTGCCTTGTCTACCAAAAGCATTGGAGGGTCCTGGGTGGCTGAACACTTAGACCTGAAGAGGAAGTGGATTGGTACCACGAGCTCTGCCCGGCCCCCAGCAGTAGAAGCTTCCTAGAAAGGCCTCAGGTGGAGTGGGAATTTTTATTTGCCCTGGAATAGAGAGCCTGGAGAAGAGATGGGGGGTCTTGGCATTAAGCCCAAGGTCATTTTCATGACACTGTTTATCCCGCCCTGTCCCATATGGACATCGGATCATGGTCAGGACCAAGGCACAGAATATGGGGTGGCAGCGGGCTCCACCTAAAGCTGGGGTGTTCCCGCATCCCCTGCCGGCCCTGCCCACTCTCACCCCCACCCCTACTGCCCCAGAGGATCCCTCATGCACACGGCCCAGCCCCGCCCCGCTGGTTTAGGGCACTGCAGTGTGATTTTCAAGTGCCCAGGTAGCTGGCTGAGGCGCTGGGTCCCTGGGAAGAGATGCGAGTGGGGAGGGGTTAGTGAAGGAGGAAGAGGGAGGGTTTCCTGATTATCTGACAAACACAAACCCAGGCCTGAGCTTCAGTGCGGGCTCTGACAGACATCAGCTCACAGTAAACCCCAGGCCCCTGTTTACTTCCCCCCTCCGGCTCACATCCTGTCTTATCTGTGGCCCCGATAACCTGCCGCCCCTGCCCATCATTCCAGAAAGGAGGGGCTTCCAAGAGGCTTCTAGGAACGAATGACTCAGCTAAAGCTGAAAAGAGCCGCTCGGTCCTGATGGGCACCCTGGCCAGCGCACATATCACAAACCACTTCTACGATCTTTTTTACCACCTCTGCTGACACGCGGAGCGAGGCTACAGGGCTGAGACTCTGCTGCGGGTCTCCGTCTCCAGGGACACGGAGCCAGTCCCTGCTTGGGGTCCCTGGGCTACGTGTGACTTCTCCTCCACCTCCCGGGACGCCCACCAAATCCCAGGGGTCAAAATCCCTATCTCAGGGTACCCAGCTTTTATCCACGTCCTAAGAAAAGATTAAGGGGACTGTGGGGCAGTCGCGCCTCCTACAGTAAGGTCCTCCGGCCCACGAAAGGAAGAGGAGGATTTGCTGTCAATCAAGTGCATGGCTCCCCCAGGCCCCTGGGTTGAGGCCTTCCCCCCGCCCCGCCCCCCGCCTCCCTTGCCAAGTGGAGGGCTCCCAGGCCACCGCCAAGCACCCGACTCGCACCCACCAGCACTGCAGCCTTGTTTACACAGTCACCCCCCCAGGGACCTGCGAACCCAGCTTGGCCTTGAAGGGACTCCCTCCTTTCCAAGGAATTAGACTGTTTCTCTCTCAAAAACGGCCTCAGGAGACAATGCGTCTGGACCGCAGTCACGGACACAAGCCATTTTCATCACAGCGCAGAGTGCGTATGTCCTTGGATCCTGCTTGTGTGGTTGTGACAGGCTGAGAATTAAACTAATCTAAACAATACTATCTATAAAACAACCATTTTAACTTAGAGAGTATATGGGTGTAACAACTGTCAAGCACCTAGAGATTTAAGAAACAGAAACAACAAAACACCCAAAAAACTATGTAACTAACACTAACAAAGAGGATCTATAATCCATAGCTTCCCAAACATACTCTGGCTATAAGCCCCCATAAAAGGACAGAAGAGAGAAGAATTCTCGTTGGGAATTTATCACCAGCCTCCATGTCTATAAATGTTCCATGGACCCAAATACAGTCATTCAGGTTCACTGGAAATCACCTATTCTTTTTGCAAAAATTCATTCTGGCCAAGAGCTGGGAACCCAGGAATGGGTCTGGAGCTCCTAATTCGTGCAGATCTTACACAGCTCACGGCAGCCAGCATGGAGCCCAAACGTTTCTGCAAGACTCCTGGATGCAGCGAACGCGCTTGTAGGGCAAATTCAGCCTCTTCCAGCAACTAGCACATTGCATCTTCTATGTCTCCGTGAGGGAAACAGGGTGAGTATTAACTGCTTCACAAATATAAGCAGAGAAACTCAGGTGAGGGCAAAGAAGAGAGATGTTACCAATGAGGCCATCCATGCTCAGCAGGCAAGCCCCAAGCCTGAGACCGTGTGGTCTGCCTGTCATAACTCGAGTCTCTTTGTGTCTAAAGACAGAGTCTTCTGCGTCCAGATTGAGTTCCGCATCATTTGCTTTGAGGCCAAGTGGAAACAGCTCAGAGCATGGGTGGACCAATGCCAGCTGCATCTGACAAAGCATAGCTGGGGTCCAGCCGGGAACCTCTCCCCCAGCCAACTAAGCTCCACAAGCCTTAAAGAGCTACAGGGGAGAAAAATCCTCCATTTCTCAGCAGGGGACGCCCGGGTCTCCACTGCCACTTTGTAAACCCTCCAAGGAACAAACATCCCAATACCAGGTGCCAAGGGGGCCAGCAAGGTGGGATCGCCCAGAACCCCACCGGGCAGGTAGTGAGCTCATCTTCCCTTGGCTCCAAGCCCATCCTTTTGCACTCTGCTTTGAGATGCAGGGCTTGGGATCCTGCAAATCACGTTTCTGCTCCCCTCCTGGTGAGGCTCTGCCCATCAGAAGTGCCAGAGGGAGTCCGGAGGCTGGAGGAAGAAGGAACTCGCTCCTGATTTGTTTCCTGTTTACCTCTGTCGGCTTCCTGTCCCTTTCTGTTTCCCCCAGCAATTCTCGTTCACTCGGACGGTGTCAACTCCTTCCAGAAACAAATATTTGAGTCCCATTTTGGTTTTCCCAACACTCTCAGAACCAACTTCGGGGTGTCCGTCAGCCAAACAGCTCCCCCTCCTCAGAGGCGGGGGTTGGCTGCCACCCCCAAAGGGGTCTCCTGTGAGCTCAGGACACCAGCGTCTGGGAACTGAGATGCAGCCCACCTGCCCCTTCTCCGAGTGTCTAACTCTTAATGAGCTCATGCCTTCTCTTTGTCCCCCGAGCCTGCTTCCTGCGGGCGCCCCCTCCATCCACATCTCTGTGCCCCCTTCCTGCCTTTGCAGCTACCTGGCTAGAAATTCTTTCTGTCAAAGGATCTCTGGTGTGATTGCTGTCTCCTGCCTGGACCAGGACTGATTCACCCCCAGCTGGGTCCTAAGCATCTCTGGCAGGATCTAGAGCCCGGGGCTTCCCACCCGCACATGACTGCACTGCCAGACGGGGTGCCTTCACCCCCTCCGTGGCCCACATTCCATCTGGTTGATCTCAGCCGACCTCTGCCCGAGCAGGGGCAAGTCCCAACGCAAAGGCCGTCACAAAATATGTGGCAAATGGCCCTTAACTGCTGTACAAGCTTGGGGGGTGGCTGCAGGGACTCCCTGTTAAATGTCGGGGTGTTTCTCCTCGCCGGCCAGCAGTGAGTGGTACGGAAGCACTCTTGTCCTCGGCTTCTGGGAGAAGATGATCTTGTTGTAGTCGGCGGTGGGACTTGCCCTAGCATCCGAGTGGAAGTGGGTGCGCTCTGGAACCACGGGGGGACCCGTGTCCGACATGGAGAAAGGGCCCCAGGCCGAGAGCGTGGTCTCTGACCTCACGTCCTCGAACGTCATGTTGCCTGAGGACGTGAAGGACTTTCTCCTTTCCAGCTGGGTGACGCTGGGAGGCTTGCTCTGCCTGTACGTCGGCCAGCTCTCCTCGGCCGTTTGCAAGCGTTCCACGTCTCTGGCTTTGCTTTTCTCAATCAGTCTTTTCACCAGCGGGGATGTGTACGTGACATAGGCGGGCCACAGGTCATGTTTCTCAAGCAGATTCACGGGAAGCCCGATGTTTTCTGTCAGTTCTACTGGCAACGAGAAATACGGGCAATTTAGAGGCACTCGCAGCCAATGATTCCATTCTTTAAGGGTCGGAGGGTATCGGAACTACATGTTGGATTTCTCCCCATCATGCATGATAGCCCTTCCATCCCCTGTATGCAGTGGGAATAAAATGAAATCCAAAGTTGGGAGACATGGACTTTCCTGGCCAGTGGCTATCATGGAAGGCCATGATAGCCCTTCCATCCCCTGTATGCAGTGGTCCAGTGGTTAAGACTCTGTGCTTATCGGAGAATGGATTACTTTACAGGTTCATCCGTGAACATTGGAAAGTCCCAGGGAGTGTGTCCACTGCCTCCTGCCAACGTCCAAGGACTAAGAGATCGGGTGGCTTCTAACAAGGTCACGGGTGAGGTGGGGAGCTGTGGCAGGGAGACCCCACTTTGAGAACCATCAGTCCAGGGCCACGCCACTCCACCTCTGTGAGCACTAAACCCCGGGAGAGCCTGGGAAAACACGGCCGCGGGGTCCCACCCCAAGGATGCAGACTCCGCAGAGCTGCTCTGGGGACTGGAGAACTTGCATTTCTAAGTCACTCCCAGGCGCCGCTGCTGGTTTGAGCACCTACTGTGAGTGGTCCTGGTTGAGGCTGAATAAGCTCTAAATCTTTCTTTTGGCTGCAACATACACGAGGACCGGCTTGTGCAGGTGGGAAACACGGCCCTCAGGTGAGCGACTGCCAGACTTTCCACCCCTTTTCCCTCCTCATCGAGGAACCACTGTGGAAGGCAAGGGAGCGAGCTCTTGACAGGGGTCACCTTCAACGCCACTGCATTTATAAGTAAATCACTCCCAATGTCAGTGTTTTATTATAATATACCTCACGAAGCATAGCATCCTAAAGATTCATTCAAACTCTTAAAAAAAAAAAAAAGCGAGTTTTTGTCAACCTAGTCAGATCCAGGCCTCACGGATTCCTCACTGCTAAGTCTTAGTGGCAACCTTTCATGACAATACGTTTTCAGGAGAATTCACAATATCATTTTTCCGAAGCTAGGGAAGAAATAATGCTCAAATAGTCCTCTAAGCTAGAGAGAGTTTCATGTAATAATAATGATGATAAAATGGAAGTTGAAGCACCTTATGTCTCCTTCTAAGACCTAGAATCTCAGAATGTCAGGCCATCCATTCCAAGTCCCCAGCAACACAGAGTATGTCATCCAAGGGGTCACCGTCCTTGCTTGCCCACCTCTAACCAAAGGAATTCCTGGCTTATCCTCCACATCTGTAGGGCTATTAGAAACGTGAGTACCAGGAGTCCCCTGGCGGCCTAGTGGTTAGGATTCGGCGTTTTCACTGCCGTGGCCCAGGTTCAATCCCTGGTCAGAGAACTGAGATCCCACAAGTCATGCGGTGCAGCAAAAACAAAACAAAAACAAACAAACAAAAAAAATATTGAATTATACAATAAAAATAAGTGTATTTTTTTTTAAAAAAGAAATGTGAGGACTTCTCCCCATACATACAATAGGATTAATCAATCATGTCAGACGGTGGGAAAATGCTCTGAGCCGGCGATATTTGGGGGATGTGGGATCATTCATCCTTGCTTCTAAGCCTCTAGTTTATGAGCCCTGAAGCTTCAGAGAAGCCCAGTTACTAGCGAATCGTTCGTTTCAACAGCATCCCCCTCAGAGCCCCTTGCCCCACCCCGCTGCCCCCATAACAGCCTCCATGGCTGATAGGACAATCCCACAGGCTGGCAGTGTTCTCACGCCCGATGATGCAGAGACTAGGGTACTGTACAATCAAGGCTGGGGATGTCCGAGGCAGCCTCAAAACCCACGGGGAGGACTTGTTTAAAAATCAGAGGAAAGGGACTTCCCTGGTGACACAGCGGTTAAGAATCCGCCTGCCAATGCAGGGGACACGGGTTCGAGCCCTGGTCTGGGAAGATCCCACATGCCGCGGAGCCACTAAGCCCGTGCGCCACAACTACTGAGCCTGCGCTCTAGAGCCCGCAAGCCACAACTACTGAGCCCACGCATCGCAACTACTGAAGCCCGTGCGCCTAGATCCTGTGCTCCACAACAAGAGAAGCTACCACGGTGAGAAGCCTGCACACCGCAACGAAGAGTAGCCCCCGCTCGCCGCAACTACAGAAAGCCCACACGTAGCGACAAAGACCCAACGCAGCCAAAAGTAAATACGTAAAATAAATAACTTTATTAAAAAAATAGAATATCAAAGGAGAGAAATAGTCAACATTAAGTCTGAAGACAAGCTGTGGGCTCTGATAATTTCCTCCAACTCTGGCACGCAAGGTCCATTCTGTGTCCCTAGAAATGAAACGCAGACCAGTGGTCCCCAGACAGAGGCAGCATTGCTGGGGCAGGAGGCATGACACTGAAGGGGTTTTCTTGTTTCTCCTTCAGGCACGAAGGCCCGTGTTCAATCCTCTGAGTTTTCAAGCCCAGTTCCTCCCACCCACCCCCTGGTCTCATATCCCAACATCCCCAGAATCTAGTCTGATTGGCTGGGTTTGGCCCAAGTAAGGAACGACAGTTGTCTGGAACCTGATCTGTGACCTGGATCGTGTCTCTTCACCCCGTACGACCTTTGTATCTCACTTACGAGATGAGGACGAGCTCCTGCCCTGCTCCTCTCACAGAGGCGTGGTCGTTATAATAAAATGTTATAATAAAAATAAAGTGTTTCTACGTCAGTGGCCCCAGTTTCACTGCATGTTGGGATTACTGGGGATCTTTAAAAAAATTCAAATACCTGGCTCTGCCCTGCCCCCACCCCACCACATTGTGATCTAATTGGAATAGGATACAACACAGGCAGCGGAATTAAAAGCTGGATTCTAACATGCAGCAAGGTTTGGGAACCGCTATCATAGAATCTAACCCCCCCCCCCAAAACACTGAAGGTTTATAGGGTTTTAACTACTTCAGACATAGGAAACAGGTCCAGGAGGTCACTTCAGTCTTTTTTAAGTTCTAAGACACAGATTTAAGAATTTACACATTCAATTCAGACGTATATTCAAGGATTCTTTGTTATGTATGTTCAGGACTGCATATCAGTGGCCTTTAAACATTTTAAAGGACCCTGGAGCATTCCCACCACCACCTGCCAATACGGGAATCACTAAGACCAAAGAAAGTGCTGAGCTAAGAACACTGGGGCTGAGGATGGTGCTTTGGTGCAGAACTAATTCACGCTCTATCTGTGGCCACAAGCTGCATCCTTATCTCGGAAAACCATCCTGCAAAAGGATTTTGTGGGTTCCAGGCAGGACTGATTGGATGAGTGGGCACGAGTCCACCCCACTCAGACTGTTTGCCCCACAAATGCTGTGAAAGTAGTGCTGTTTGCACACCCCTGATGGGCAAGACAGTATCTGACTCCAGTGTCTCCTGAGCTGTGCCCCCAGAGAATGCAGGAATCTCTCAAGATGTTAAGAGGTGTTACTTAAAGGAGGGGAAAAGTCCATGGCAAAGACCACCCTCTAAGGGCTGCATATACTTTTTAATCCAGGGGGCCCCATACACATAGTCTGTGTGGTTTTGCAATAGAAATACAGCAAGCCTGTCCGCAGTCCAGCTGGCCTGAAAGATGACGTGTTAAATTCCTTTAGTGCAGGAATTTCAGAGCCTGTGATAGGCTAACTTGTTCTGTAACTCTCCAAAGGGAAACTGGGATGCAGCATCCCCTAACCTCATATGACCAGGGAATCATTCATTCATTCACTCACTGGGAAGGGCATCTCAGGGAACTAGTAAACCAGGGAAACGGCTGGGAGAACTCTGAAACGATGTCCTCGCCAGCCCTTGTTTTGGAACCTTGAGCATCAGAGGAGGTTCTGCCATAAGTGGACAGAGGGACAAACTTGCTCAGGGTATAGCTGGGTCTTCAATGACTCACTTCCTCCAGAACCAGCCTCAGAAGTTTGGCCTCACGAAGGTGCCCATACCCAGAAGTGCCAAGCCAATGCGAGGGCCCAGCACTCCCCGGAAACCAGACCCACTTCCCTCTGTCCTCTCTGCTCTGCTCTAACCTGCAGGCATCTTGTGTTGCTTGCGTCTCCTCTCACTTTTCTCCCTGAACCATCCGGGGAGCTTGTCTGTTCCCCGAGGGAGAACCACATTTTCCCCGACAGGAAGCTGAGTTTCTTTTCACCTCTGCGTGTTACCCTCCTCAACCTCCCATTTCCTCCCCTGCCCGCTCTTTCCTTATCTGCCCTCTGGCTACTACTCATTTATTTGGGGTGAAGAGGAAGCTTCCACTTAGGCCAGAAGTGCCTGGAGGCTTATCTCTAAGAGCTGGGCATGAATCAACTTGGCGCCACGTGGGGTGTCTGCACTGATCTTCATCCCGAGCGGCGCCCCCATCTTACAGGTCGAGTGTACGCTTTGACCCCCTCCCCGCACTTCAGACCTGGGGAAGCCCAGTGCCCCCCACAGACCTTCCGTGAGCACCACCCCCATCCACCTCTTCACCCTGTCCCGTCCCCCCGAGACAATGGAACTGATGGGCTCCAGGGGGGCCTCCATGAGATCCTGATTTGATGCTAGGGAGCCCTGAGAATTCCAGAGCTGTTAACGCAGAGGGGAGCGGGATGGGGAGAGGCAAGTTCGCGTCCCCTCACCCCTCACTATGGGACAACGTGCTGGCCACCTTCTCTTCCGCAAACACACACACTCCAGGGAGAGGAGGGACAAGCCCATTACTGAGCTCTGTTAAAAAGCCAAGTTGCACATGACGGGCAGCTTTGGTAGCTGATACAGACCACGCCTCTTTCTGGGGGGGGGCAACGATCTCCAAGCACACCATGGGTGGGGGGAGAGATGGGAGTCTCATGAGATGGGATGGTCTTCTAACACAGGCCTGGCATCACCGATTCACCATTGTGGCGGGAGGGAGGGAACACACCGCTTCTTGAGAACCCTTCTGTACCCTCCATATTCTCTAGTGATTATGCACGGACTTTGAGGGACACAAAAGCGGAAACAGA